ACGGCGGAAGCGTGATGGTCAGGCCCAGTGAATAGGGTGGATAATCCTTGACGCTTCCCGAGATGCAGCATGCAGCGCGAAGGACGGGATGTGGATGGACGAACAAATGCGGGGGCCAACAGATACCCATACCGGTACTCCCCCGTGCCTCTCCCAGGTGCGCTCTGAGCAGGATCTGGAGGCGAATCCAGAGGTGGCGTCGAGGGAGGGGTAACACTGTCGGGACCTGTTTCCTTCTCTGCGGCGAGCGTGCTGGCCGAGAGGGCGGGCGGCTGGCGCATGAAGAGCCGCACGACCGCATGGCGGGCCCGAGGAGCTGGGGCCTCGGAGGCGGACTCGTCCTGGCGGAGACTTGGCCAAAACTCTTCTACAGCACAGCGGTCCTGCATCCAAGTGGCCTCGTAGGCAGGGCAAACGAGCAGCCAAACGCTTTCGAAAGCGGCGACGGGCGAGAGAGCACGGCCAAACGCCGGCGCCGAGATGGAGATGATCGACGACAACGACGATGGCAGATGGCAAGGGCGATGGCAGGTGGCAGCGACGACACGCTTGGTGGATGTGGCAGGCGAACATGAGCCTGCGACGCACCCTCGAGCGTCAAGTCTCCAACCCTCTTAAAAGTCGGGCGTGTCCCCATACAGGGGGATCTTGCGACGAAGCACACAACATACGCGAAGAATACTCCCAAATGGTCAGCAAAAATAGTTCCCTGACTACTTTTTGACTATGTTTGAGTATGCCCCCTGTAGAGGGACAGGCCCGACTTAACAGTAGTCGGACTTACTCCCCAGACCAAGCCTCCCCGGCGAGTTCAGAGAAGAGGAAACGGCATGAAAACATGGACTTTTGGCTCTCCGCGCGGACTCCTTGGAGCTGCGCTGGACCCCCCTCCCTGGCGCACGGAGCGCGCCAGAGGCGGCGCTGGAGGCGCCGCCGGGGGGGCACAGCGCGGACCCAAGAAATCCGCGCGGAGCGCCGGAAGCTGATATCTATGGCGTTCTTTTTGTTCCTCGAGGCTTGGGGGGAAGGAGGCGGAACAAACAAAGACGGACAAACAAAGAAAACAATCCCGAAAAAGACGAGGACGAGGATGAAAACGACGGACAAACAAAGAAAACAATCCCAAACACGACCCCCCCCCAAAAAAAACAAAAAACAAAAAACAAAAAACAAAAAAACAAAAAACAAAAAACAAAAAACAAAAAACAAACAAACAAACAAACAAACAAACAAACAAAACGGGCGGGGGATCGGCAGGCCGCAGGGCTCGCGGCGCGGCGGCGGCGCCTTCGGCGCCGGGTCGTCGGCGCCGCTGGGCGCCCAGTCCCGGCCGAGCGCGGCTCGGTAGGCCTCGCGGCGAGCGGTCGCGCAGGGAGGGGGTGATGGGCAGGCTGTCTGCCCGGCACCGCCAGTGAGCATCGTTTTGACCGTGCATCGGCCTGGGACCCACTGGCCGATGTACCCCCTACTAGATGGGGGCATAGGTCCTTCCCTTCGGGTTTCGATGGGTGTATCCCCAACCAGGGTGGAGATTTGGTGGGGGTCTCGAAGGGGATGGAGATGGGGATGGGGATCGGTTAAACGATACCGAACAAGGTAGCTCTGGGGCTCGGTCCGGCTTCGGTGAGTAATCCGCGGCGCAAGTTGCCTGAAGCTGCAGCGTGCCTGGACAGGCCTTTTCTAAGCGTTTCGCAGTACGACTGCCCGAAAGCTCTCCAGGAACTCTTGCGGAAGCTCCTTCGAGGAGCTCCAGAGCTCCTCGAGAGGCCTTTGGACGGCCTTCTGCTGCTCCGCAATCTGGGTTTTGAACTACACAAGTACTGGGGACCACAGCGGCCAGGATAATCCCCACACCCGACAGCAGCACCTGATCATACCAAATAAGCAACAGCAATATCACACCAAGGCGAAAACGGATCTCCGCCGGCAAAAGCTGCTTACACGGAATTTCTGCGCTCCCATGCCACTTCGCCGGGCTCCACGGCGAAAGCCCCAGAACTACCACGCGTGCCCAAGCCGTGCACCAGAGCCAACCGCACGCGCCCTCTTTTGAATTCATAGTGCGAGTCTGTGCACCCCTATAAGCCAGCGCCACCAATGGGCGCCACGGCGACAACCGCCACCTTGGCCCGGAGAACAAGAAGAAAACTACTAATAGTAATAATAATAACAATACTAATAATAAGAAGAAGGAGAAGAACAACAGCCACAATACTACCAACTACGAGGACGGCGCTCGTGAACGGTACCATGTCTGGACTCCCGTCAGTCCCCGATCGAGGGAGCGACGGTGCATCCGAGGTGAAGGGGTGAGATCGCAGAGGAACGGAACGGAGACCCCCACACCGGGAAATCGGCTTCGGTTTCGTGTTCGTATTTTGCGTGCGGGCAAAGCCGCGTAGGCACGCGAAAAGAAAAATGCTGGCGTGGCTAGGGGCTACGAAGCCGGTTTCCACCCCCCCCCCCGCGCGCGGTGGCGGGGGCCTCCCGCCGGTGTCCCGTCGATGGCGCGGCTGTGTCCCGTCGGTGACGGGGGGTGTCCCGTCGGTGGCGCGGTGTGTCCCGTCGGTGGCGCGGGGTGTCCCGTCTGTGGCGCGGCGGTGAGTTCGATAGTGAGATCAATCGAGAGATCGATTGTGAGATCGCTTCTGAGAACGATAGTCAGATCTGTTGTGAGATCAATCGTGCGATCTGTTCTGAGATCGATAACGAGATCTGTTGTGAGATCAATGGTGAGATCGACCGTGAGATCGATAGTGGGATCGACAGTGAAATCAATACTGAGATCGATAGTGGCATCGATTGTGAGACCAATCGTGAGATCGATGGTGAGATCGATTAGAATAACGATCGTTAAAAATGATGTAAGATCGATTGTGAGATCGATAGTGAGGTCTGTTGTGAGATCGATAGTGAGATCTGTTGTGAGATCGATCGTGGGATCAGTTGAGAGGTCGATTGTCAGATCGCTCGTGATATTTATAGTGAGATCGATTATGAAAGGATGCTGGGATCAATTGTGAGATCCTACTGAGATCGTGAGATCCATGTTGGTGAAACGATAAGGAGATCAATGAAACGATTTGAATATCGTGAGATCGAGCATAAGACCGATCATATCATCGATGGTGAGATTACTTGTGAGACCGGTAAGGCGAGGGGCAATGACAACTGTTGTGGGATCGATAGTGAGTCTGGATGTGGGATCGATAGCAACGATGTATATAGATATATGCGTGGTTTTAACAACGATCTGCGTAGGGGAAATGCGAGAGGGGCCGCACTGACTCGTCAGGGAGTTGCCATGCCGATGCTACGCCATCGGCATTGTGGCTCAAAGTGCAAGAGGCGTTTTCGATGCAGGATCTCGCCACCTCCCTGTCTGGAGTCCTGCAGCACGGGGCACAGGCCATCGGCGCCTCCGTGGTCGCGCGCGCGGCGGCCCCGAGTTGTGGCGCCTGCGCGCCTCAGCTTGCGCGTCGCCAAGGAGAGGAGGAAGGCTCGTGAGGAGCGGGCCCTCGCCGCCGGCGGCGCTGCTGGTGCTGGAACTGGAGGAGGCGACCGCGGCAAGAAGAAGAAGAAGAAGAAGAAGGGAGGCAAAGGCGGCGGCCGCGGCGATGCGGCCGCCGCGGGGGAATGATCGGCGATGAATGTGGCAGCCTGGGGGGCCGGCAGGCTGCTCGCAGTAAGGGCACCACCGGCCAGGCGGCCGCCTCTTGGCCGCCCGAGGCAGGGAGACAGCGCGACCTGTTCCCGATGCCACTTGTGGGCGGCGGCAGCGAGTACGGCAAGCCCACGCTCAGTCGCCGCCCGCTACGTCGTCGCGCCGTTCGCCTTCACCACCTGCATCGGCTGAACGCTGCAACTTCTTCTTTGAATTCGCTCCATGGTTGTCAAAGTGTTGTCGGCGACCCAGTCAACGAGAGCCAGCGGACAGCCATCCAGAACATGAACACCGCTCTACATCGGCTTGGTCGTCAGCCCGAGCAGTATGCGGAGACGCGTGAGTGCGAGGACGGAGCCCTCTCGGAGCTCCTCCAGGGCGTCGCCATCTATGGAGACGGCGCCTGCAAACCGTCAGTTCCGTACCGCCGAGAGCAGATCTCATGGCCATCTTCGAGCATGCCACCAGTGGAGCTGCCCACCATCCTGGGGCCCTCGGAGGCGGCGCGCCTGCGAGACTGGCGGAGCCAAATGCTGAGACCACCGAGGGAGGCAGAAGAGCTCATGGCCACGGCGTGCCCGAGGGGGGCACACGGCATACTGCGACCAGGGGCTAGTCGGCGACCCGCGGACCTATGCTGAGTTCTTGGGCAAGCTCTACGGCAAGGGGATGGTTCACTTCTCCGCCGCCGTGGACGCCAAGGGGACTGTCGGTGTGTTCTTCGTCCCGAAGAAGAGCGGGGCGCAACGCATCATCTTTGACACGCGCATCGCAAATTGTTTTTCAAGGCGCCTCCGGAGACCAGATTGCCGACCGCTGCTGCCTGGAGCGCAGTGGAGGCCCCCGCGTCGGGGGTTTTCGTGGCGACGGCGGACTTGGAGTGTGCTTTCTACCACATGAAGCTGCCCAGCGGCATGGAATAATACTTTTCGCTGCCCGCCATCGACTCCACCTTCTTGCTGGGGGCCGGGCTCGACGACTTGCCTTTCGGGCCGGGAGTGATGGTGGCAGCTCGCGTGTTGGTGCTGCCGATGGGGTTCACCTGGGCTCTTCACTTGTGCCAAGATGCGGCTGCAACCTGCCTGCTGCGGAGCGGGGTCGGCCCGTCCAGCATCATCGTGGACGGTCAGGTCGGCATCGCCCTCGGACCGTCGCGTCCGGCCGCAGCGGGCGCATACGTCGACAACGTGGTCACCATCGGCACCAGCGCAGAGGTGGCAAACTCGTTGTTGCACTCCCTCGTGCGGCGCTTTGAGGGCGCCGGGCTCGTGGTTCACGAGATTGTCGAGGCGTCGGCCAGCGCCCAGTTCTTGGGGCTGCAGCTGCACGCCGGAAGGCGCTCACCGCGAAGGCCAAGAACGTCTGGCGGCTGAGGGCCGCGCTTGGTAGCCTCTTGCGGCGGAAGTGGGTCACTGGCTACGCGCTGCGGGCCGTCCTTGGGCACATCACCTGGATGGGCATGCTGCGGCGCGAGGCCCTGACGACCCTGCACGCCTGCTACGCTTTCGTCGAGGTGTTCGAGGGCCGCCCTGGCCGCCTGTGGGACTCAGCGGCGCGGGAGCTGATCACGGTTCGCAACCTGTTGCCGATCCTGCAGGCGGACCTGACCGCCGGCTGGTACAGCACGATCGCCTGCAGCGATGCCGCGCCAGAGGGGCTCGGTGTTGCGCGCCAGCGGTTGGAGGCCGCGGTCGTCGCCAGCTGCGCCCGGTTTTCAGAGCGCTGGCGGTTCAAAGTCGCCGGGGCGCAGGCAACTCGCGAGCGCCCCCTTGCTTGCGGATCTGCGTCGGAAAAGCTGGCTGCCACCAAAAACGGATATCGCGCTGCTGACGCTGACCCTGATGCCGCCGAGACCCCGCTCAAGCACGTGGAGCCCTTCCCGAACTATATTGTGGCGCCCCTCGCGGACCCCATTCTGGATTCTGGCAGGGTGCTCGCCGAGGCGCCCGAGGAGGTCTCGGAGGACCCGGAGGGCTTCGCGGTGAGGTTCGAGGAGGTCCCAGCAGACATCACCGACTCCCCAGCATGGCGACCCTCCGCGGCCGTCCAGGTCTCAGGCGGAGCGAACATCCTGTTCTTGGAAGGTGAAGGCCTCTGCTTGGCCCACCGTCATCTCTTGCGGGATTCGAGCAGCCTTGGGCAAAGGGTGATGATCATAGTCGACAATCTGCCGCTTGCTCATGGGGTCGTGAAGGGCTGGGCCAAAAGCAAACACCTCCGCCGGTGCCTCGGACGGGTATGTGCTTTGTCAGTCGCCACCGGCTCGAAGCTGTACGTCAGGTGGGTCGCCTCAGAACGGAACGCATCGGACCCAGTCAGCCGCGGGCGGTATGGCTGGTTCAGCGGGCGGCGCGTGCTGCGCGGGCCCGCGGGTGGCGCTCCTACTGGCCGTCGTGGCGGTCGCCACTGTGGGCCCCGTGGGCGCCGACGCGGCTCGGAAGTCTCGCGTGCCAAGCGCGGGAGCCGCCGTGGCGCAGCGGCAGAAGCTGGCCCAGCAGGCGCGGAGCTCGCGGCCGCTGCTGGCGGGGCTGACGCTACTGGAGACGCTGGCCATCCGCGCGAACACCGAGCGGAGCTACTTGCAGATGCTGAACAACTTCGTGCAGTGGTGCCAGCAGCACCGCCAGGACTGGAAGTCGTACGAGGAGCTCGACCCGGTGCTGTCGAGCTACTTCTCGGACCACTACTTGCTGGGGACGGCGTGCAACATCGGGAGCCAGACGCTGGTTGCCATCGCGCACGTCACGCCCTCGCTGTTCAAGCAGACGGTATCCGTGCTCCCCCGGGCCTCGAGGGCCTCGGCCGCCTGGAAGCGCCGCGCGCCGGGCAAGACCCGGCTGCCGCTGCCGCGCCCTGCAGTCTACGCGATCGCGGGCTGGCTGATCAGCCACGGGCAGCTTGGGATGGCATGCTGGGTGGTCCTGGCCTTCGCAGCCTACCTGCGGCCGGCCGAGGCGCAGGGCCTGACGCACGAGAGCCTGGCGCCGCCGGCCCCGGCAGCCGGCGCGGGGCACTCGTGCTGGGCCCTGCTGATGCATCCGCTGGAGCGCGGAGTGGCGGGGAAGACCGGGCACTGCGACGACGGCGTGCTGATCGACCAGGCCCCCCTGTGGCCGGTGCTGGCGGCGATGCGGCTAGCGACGCCGCCGGGGGCCAGCCTGTGGAGCTTCTCGCTGGACGAGCTCACCGCGCAGTTCAGCAGTGCGCGCCAGGCTCTGAAGCTGTCGTCGCCGAGGCCCCACCTCTACAGCCTCCGCCGCGGGGGGGCCTCGGACGACCTCCTGACGGGCCGCCGCAGCCCGCTCGAGGTGCAGCGTCGAGGCAGGCGGGCAGTGGCGTCGTCGATGCGGCGCTACGGCAAGGAGGGCTCCCTGCTGGACGAGATGGCGCGGGTGAACGCGGCTGTCTTCGCCTTCGGGGCCCTCGTCGAGGCGAACCTCAGCTCTCTCCTCGAGCACGGTTTCAGCAGGATGAACCTGCGCGGCCAGGTGCCGGCGACTGCGCTGCCGGCGCTGGGCCCAGTGGCTGCGGCGCCAGGCCGGCGGGGCCGCAAGCGGCCTGCCGCCCGCCGCTGACCGGGGCCTCGGGCGCCACCGCCCCGGGCCCACCTCAGCGGCCAGCAGCAAGGCCCAGCAACGCCGAGGACGGGGTGTGCAGCCGGCATCTCAAACGGCGCCTTCGGCGCGCTTTGCGTGCGCAGCGGACGCGGCGCGTGGTGCTGGAGCTCTTTGCTGACTCGTCACACCTCACAGAGGCGGTCAGGCGGCGTGGGCTGCCTGCGCTGGACCTGGACCTGTGGCGGGGTCCAGCTGAGGACCACCTCAGCCGCGAGTTCCGTGCTGTCGTGAAGGGCTGGCTAGCATGCCGGGTCGCGGGCGCCGTCTGGTTGGGAACCCCTTGCACTACCTGGACACAGGCGCTACGACAGCCGCTGCGGACACGGACGCGGCCGATGGGGCGGGCTGACCTCTTGCCTCGCGAGGCCGCCAAAGTTCGCATGGGGAACCGAACTTTCCACTTATCTTGTGATGTGATTGAGCTTTGTCTGGAGCTGCGTATCCCAGTTTTCGTTGAGAACCCGGCGGGCTCACTGATATGGCAAGCGCGACGTCTGCAACGATTGCTTCAGCATCCGTCTTGCCAGCTGCTGACTTTCGACGGCTGTCAGTACGACGCCCCCTGGCGTAAGCGGACGTCGGTGGCGGCCTGGAACGCCGTCGACCTGTCCCGCCTTCAGCGGCGCTGCGCCGGCAGGCGAGGGATGTGCTCTCGTTCGAACAGACCTCACGTGATCCTCACCGGCCACGCCGGCGGTGCGCACCTCACGGCGCAGGCGGCTGCCTACCCTCCTCTTTCTTGTCGTGAGGTCGCTAAGCTCATTGAACACTCTATGCAAGTCCAGTCTAACAAGCATCTCGTAAACATCATAACGAGATAGATTCCTGCATCGTATACTTACCATTTTTGACGGCCTGCCGGCCAGGTTTATCTCCGTCGGGATTCGGGAGTCAGTGGGTCATGTTCGCTGTTTTCTGTCTGTGCGCTCGTGTGTCGACGCCCGGCCCAACATGGGACACGTGCGTCTGCCTGGCTCCGACCCACACAGATAGGCCTTGCTCGTATGTGAAAACGTCCGGAGAGCGCTCTGTGCTTCGGATGGCTATCGCCACTCCGTCGCCCCCGCACCTCCATCGTGCCAGGCCGTTCAAGAGCTGGCCCTCGGGAGTGGAGGCGGGCTGCGTGGTTTTAACAACGATCTGCGTAGGGGAAATGCGAGAGGGGCCGCACTGACTCGTCAGGGAGTTGCCATGCCGATGCTACGCCATCGGCATTGTGGCTCAAAGTGCACCCGCCCGCGAGCCACCCTGTCAAAGAATCTTTTTCCGTGCCTTTGATGCCCCAGGAGTCAGTGGGTCATGTTCGCTGTTTTCTGTCTGTACGCTCGTGTGTCGACGCCCGGCCCAACATGGGACACGTGCGTCTGCCTGGCTCCGACCCACACAGATAGGCCTTGCTCGTATGTGAAAACGTCCGGGGAGCGCTCTGTGTTTCGGATGGCTATCGCCACTCCGTCGCCCCCGCACCTCCATCGTGCCAGGCCGTTCAAGAGCTGGCCCTCGGGAGTGGAGGCGGGCTGCGTGGTTTTAACAACGATCTGCGTAGGGGAAATGCGAGAGGGGCCGCACTGACTCGTCAGGGAGTTGCCATGCCGATGCTACGCCATCGGCATTGTGGCTCAAAGTGCACCCGCCCGCGAGCCACCCTGTCAAAGAATCTTTTTCCGTGCCTTTGATGCCCCAGGGGAGTCAGTGGGTCCTGTTCGCTGTTTTCTGTCTGTACGCTCGTGTGTCGACGCCCGGCCCAACATGGGACACGTGCGTCTGCCTGGCTCCGACCCACACAGATAGGCCTTGCTCGTATGTGAAAACGTCCGGGGAGCGCTCTGTGTTTCGGATGGCTATCGCCACTCCGTCGCCCCCGCACCTCCATCGTGCCAGGCCGTTCAAGAGCTGGCCCTCGGGAGTGGAGGCGGGCTGCGTGGTTTTAACAACGATCTGCGTAGGGGAAATGCGAGAGGGGCCGCACTGACTCGTCAGGGAGTTGCCATGCCGATGCTACGCCATCGGCATTGTGGCTCAAAGTGCACCCGCCCGCGAGCCACCCTGTCAAAGAATCTTTTTCCGTGCCTTTGATGCCCCAGGAGTCAGTGGGTCATGTTCGCTGTTTTCTGTCTGTACGCTCGTGTGTCGACGCCCGGCCCAACATGGGACACGTGCGTCTGCCTGGCTCCGACCCACACAGATAGGCCTTGCTCGTATGTGAAAACGTCCGGGGAGCGCTCTGTGTGTTCGGATGGCTATCGCCACTCCGTCGCCCCCGCACCTCCATCGTGCCAGGCCGTTCAAGAGCTGGCCCTCGGGAATGGAGGCGGGCTGCGTGGTTTTAACAACGATCTGCGTAGGGGAAATGCCCATGCCGATGCTACGCCATCGGCATTGTGGCTCAAAGTGCACCCGCCCGCGAGCCACCCTGTCAAAGAATCTTTTTCCGTGCCTTTGATGCCCCAGGAGTCAGTGGGTCATGTTCGCTGTTTTCTGTCTGTACGCTCGTGTGTCGACGCCCGGCCCAACATGGGACACGTGCGTCTGCCTGGCTCCGACCCACACAGATAGGCCTTGCTCGTATGTGAAAACGTCCGGGGAGCGCTGTGTTTCGGATGGCTATCGCCACTCCGTCGCCCCCGCACCTCCATCGTGCCAGGCCGTTCAAGAGCTGGCCCTCGGGAATGGAGGCGGGCTATATATATATGTGTGTGTTGAGACCGATCGTGGCATCGCTTGTGATATCGAGCGTGATCTCGAGTATCAGATCGATAGTGACATATGTTGTGATATGGATCGTGAAATCCGTATGGGGATCGATGGTGTGATCGCTCGTCAGCATAGAGTTCGATTGCCAAATAGTTAGTGCGATCGACTGTGAGATCGATAGTCAGATCTGCTGTGACATCGATACCGAGATCGATAATCAGATCTATCGTGAGATCAGTAGTGGGGACAATTTCGATATCGATTGATCTGTTTGTGAGATCGAGAGTTTGATCGATGTGACATCGATTGAAAGAGACGGTGGTTTCCCCCCCCCCCCCCGAACCTCCAAATTACCCGAAAGGTGGTCGTATAGCTAGCGATCGTCGGCTATAGGGGCCGAAGACTGTGCACCGTACCATGCCCAGGCCGGAGATCGACGACGCCTCGGAGAACGCCAACGTGGAACGGTGAACGTGAGGGGCAACGATAGGGGGCGACTGGCATAGGGGGGGGGGGCAACATCGACCTGGAATCGGCGACACGCCGCCGAAAGTGCACCACCTTCCTGGGCAGGCTGAGGCCATCGGGACCCTATCGGCGATCACTGGGCGATGGGGTCGATGCATCCCCCCCATGCCTATGTAATCGTGTTTCTCTCCCTCGTAACGGTCGTTACCAGGGGCGGGCAGGATGCACGGTTTCCCCCGGGGCCGTAGGCGACCCGAGGAGGAGGAGGGAGGAGGAGGAGGAGGAGGAGGAGGAGGAGGAGGAGGAGGAGGAGGAGGAGGAGGAGGGAAGGAGGAGGAGGAGGAGGAGGGAGGAGGAAGGAGGAGGAGGAGGAGGAGGAGGAGGAGGGGGAGAAGTAGGAGGAGGAGGAGGAGAAGAAGGAGGAGAAGGAGGAGGAGGAGACGGAGGACGTCGCCTAAGCCCTTCGGAGAAACCCTGCAGGCAGGGGGTCCGGCGGGAGGGCAACGGTGACGGCGGCCGCGGCGTGCGGCCGCCAGGGTGCCGTCTGCGCCACCGGCGCAGCAACCGCCTGTGCGCATTACAGCATGTGGGGGGCCCGGGGAACGAGCGTGACCCAGGGGAGGAAGACAAAAAACCATCGCCATCCTGCGGGCCCCAAGAATATACACCACCACCACCTCCATTCCTCCTCCGTCCCATCCCCCCTCTTCCTCTCACCTTCTGTGGGAGAGGGAGGGGGCGAGGGAGGTGGTGGTGGTGTATATGTTCTAGCCCCGTACATCCCCCCCAATTTATCGTTGGGTCGGGCGTGTCCTCCTACAGGCGGCTTCCGGACGACACTTAAATATAGCCTGGAATTCATCAAAAATTGTCAAACTCTGTAATACACGTATTTTTTGTACACGTATATAGATATGTATGTTCCTCCTGTAGAAAGGCATCCCCCCATTATCGTTGGGTCGAACGTGTCCTCCCACAGGCGGGTTCAGAAATTGTCAAACATAGTAACACACTGAGTTTACGTTATATTTATATACCCAGATCTATTTATATACCCAGATCTATATATGTACACATACATATATATGTATATACACATGCATACATATATATATATATATATATACATATACACATGTGTGTATGTATGTTCCTCCTGTAGAAGGGCATGCCCGACTTCACCTTATCACTACCCCATGAGCACACCAAGTGGTCCGCAGAGGGGCGCCGGGGCGGCCGCACCGGCATCAGGGCGTCCAGCTCCGCCTGGAAGACCTCGTGGCCCAGCTCCCGGCCGCCCCTCCCGCGCCCGGCGGCCAAGGCCTCCCGGGGGAGCGGGGGACGTCACGGGGGGGGAGGCTCGCCAGAGATCCAACGCATTGACAAAAATCAGGACGGAGGTTTTTCACAGTTTTCGGCCTCCGAGGGCCCTCACAGGGCCTCGGGGCCGTCAGTAAGCGACTCGGGAGGAGAAGCCAGTCCTGGGGAATGGGTAGAGACTGCCGGGGACCCCGTATTAACAAAAATCACGACATCGGATCTCTGGGTCTCGAGGGGGGGGACATCGAGCTGGGATCGGCGACGCTCCTCGCCGATTGACTGGCGATGCTCGGGGGGGGATGCTCTCTGGGGTGGGTGGGTCGCGGATCGGGCTGGCATCGGCGTTGGGCGTCGCTTGACGGGGGGGGGGGGGGCGATACATGGGGGGAAGGGGGGTGCACCTGTGGGGCCCGAGAGGCCCCCCCCCGTTGAACCCTGCTTGGGTTGAGTCGGGCGTGTCGCCCTACAGGGGATTTTCGACGAAAAATAAAAAAAGCTCTAAAAATACAGCAAAATGACAACACAAATCAAAAAATTGTCCCCAGACTATTTTTTACTATTTTTGAAGATTCCCTCTACAGGGGGACAGGCCCGACTTACTGCTTGGGTCCACAAGCTGGGATCGGCGATACAATCAACCCGTATTACAAAAAAATGCGCGGTAGGGACGCAAGGGCCGCAAAGGCCGTGGGAGTCCATGTTGACCCTTTGCGACCGGGGCAGGGCCAGCGAACGCGGCCAAGGATGGGCCGAAGTGGAAGGATACAAGGGCAACCTTGCAGGAAAATTGTTCATCCTCATTTGGGCGTCGCTCCATTTGGGGCGGTCAAATAGTAGGAGGAGGAGGAGGAGGAGGAGGAGGAGCAGGAGCAGGAGGAGGAGGAGGTGGAGGAGGGGGAGAGGCAGAGGAGGAGGGGGAGGAGGAGGGGGGGGGGAGGGAGGGAGGAGGAGGAGGAGGAGGAGAGGAGGGAGGAGGGAGGAGGAGGAGGGAGGGAGGAGGGAGGAGGAGGAGGGAGAGGAGGAGAGGGAGGGAGGAGGAGGAGGAGGAGGAGGAGGAGGGAGGAAGGAGGAGGAGGAGGAGGAGAGGAGGGAGGGGGGAGGAGGAGGAGGAGGAGGAGGGAGGAGGAGGGGGGGAGGAGGAGGAGGGGGGGCTGGCGCCGGCGCGCCTCCGCGGCGGGCGCCACCCGCCCGCGGCGCCGCCCCGCGCGGGCGGGGCGCCGCGGGCGGGGCGGCG